GTAAATTATGTATGCAGGATTTACTTAGAAAAATGTTGAGCTCAAATTATTAGTGGAGATGACTAAACAAATTCTCGTTAGCGTTTTATCATCCTAAAATATAGATACAGGGAAAATATAAGTCCCGCCGACCCACCCTATCTCAATTGTGATGATTTTTTTTTTAATTGTCGAGAGTTACAGTAGCGAAATTTAATTGCAAAATCCTTATTATTTTTCTACAAGAAATTACCATGTAAGACATGTGTTTGAGTATCGTATTATTCAAAGAATACTTACTATGTATATTATGAAAAAATTAGACCCAAAGATTAAGCCCCGCCCATACCTGCCCTACCATATTTCCTAACAAAAATTTATCATTTTAGATGTGTTTTAAGTATCTTAGAATAAAAAAAATCATCACAATCGAGATGGGGTGGGTGGGCGGGGTTTATGGTTTGTCTTTTCATAAGGTACATAATATTCTTTGAACAAACACGATGCTCAAAAATCTGTTTTTAATTTCTTGTAAAGAAATAAGTATTTTGCAGTTAAGCTTCGCCCCCTTGGTTAACGGCGAATAAAAAAATCGTTACAATTGAGATCGGGCGGGTGGGCGGGCTCATATTTCATCTTTTTGTTTTAATATGTGTAGACTTCTTCATGAAACTTAAAATATGTTTAAAATGAAAATTTTTGTAAGAAAATATCAAATTTGCAATTAGTCTCCATGCCATAATTATAAAATCCACATTTGCTTGCAAAAATGTAGCATTTTAAACATGTTTTAAGTTTCTTGTTATGAAAACATGGCTATGTATATTAAGAAAAAAAAGCACAGATGGAGGAAACGGAGGACCTAAAACCAAAAATTTTACATTTGTGTTTTTTTTTTTTTTTTGGTTAATTTAGCATTACAAATTTGAAACTTGTGCTTAACACTGGCATCGAATCAGTAAACTCAGATTATAATTTTTGAAATCACATAAAAACATAATCTATTCTGTTTGAAAATAAAAAGTTAATGTCACAAAAAACTAAAAGCGTTAAAAATATTTTGTATACTTTTTTGTATTAATCGACCTTCTAAATTTTAAATTTGCAACCTGAATTGCAACTTTCACGTTTTCTTTCTCGACGTTTCATAACCCCTAGAGTACGAAAAAATAGGTCGCCCGTTTCCGTCTGTCTGTGTCGATTTTTATTAGATTATTATAGTCTCCGAAACTACTGGATTGGAATATGTGATTTAAGAATAACGTGTATATGGTAGAACGCTAACTAAAATTTGTCTAATCATCCCTATCAACAACTTGACGACGTCCATCATTACTTTGCGTGGTAATGGGCATCTAAATTTTATAAAATAAAGTACTGCTGTATTTGTGGTTTATAAATCTACCTTGATTTTTATCACAATTACGTTACATTTTTTTTTGTACAATATTTTGCGCGTCTTTCGTGTAGCTAATAGATCAAATATTCATGGGTAACTTGGTTAAGTAAGTTTGGAAAAATCAAATTTTATAATTTTTTGAAAAATAAAACTGGATTTGTTCGATTCTATTAAAGGGAAGTTCTGCTTACAACTTTGAACCAATTTTTATTTTTTCAAGTATCTGAAATAGTACAATGGCATTATACCGGTACAGTTTTAGATAAATTGTAAATTTTGATTTTGTTTTATTTTTCTAGAGTAACCCTTATGTTACAATAATCTAGGGGTCAATTATTCTGTAAACAGAACGTATTGAGATTTTTGAAGGGAGGAAATATAAATTTTGATTTATACAGGGTGAATAATGACTGGGTGCGGTACTCGATATCTGATTAATTAATTATACAAGTTGAAGACCAAAGTTCTTATACTATAAAATTATTTTTAGCTATACAGTGTTGTGTTTTTAAGGTGTAACACACCTAACGAAACACCGTATATATTTTTACATATTCCCATTAGCCTCTTCCTAGGCTTTATAACTATAGTTTAATTTTGAAATTCCGATGAAATGTTGACACGGTATTTGAATTTTCTTGAATTTTTTTGGCAATGGAAGGGTTCGCAGAGAAATTCCTAATATGGTTATTTTTAAATTTTTGTGGAAATATAAATAAAAAATAATGAAAAAACTAAAATATCTATAATTGAAAATTCTAATATGTAATTAAAATAAAAATTTAGAAGCACTCTGTATATGAAAGTTTAATTTCAATTGCACCACAACAAAGAAGCGTATATACATATTCTCCACAAAATATTATAAGGTACAGACCCTACTGCGATTTTTTTATGAACCCTTCCATTGCTAATAGATTTCAAGAAAATTGGAGTAACGTGGCAACGTCGCATCGGTCTGCAAAAAATAAACTGTAGATGTAAAGCCTGAGAAGAGGCCAATCGAACTTCACATTTTTCTTCCATTTTAAATAATTAAATAATGAGATCTCGAAAAACGTGTGCCTAGTGACTCACCCTTTACAATAATAAAAAATTGGTCGAAGGTTATTTCAACAGAACTTCCCTCGCCTCTGAAGTGCAGTCAAATAAATCCCAGTTTTTCGAAGTTTTATTTTTTTTGCAATTTTTGTTTCCTGTTTTCTTTTTTGACTTGAATTTTTCAGTTCTTCAATCTTTCATTTTTTTTGTTTCAAATTTTTCGAGTTTTCAACTGTTCAATTTTTCAATTTATAGATTTTGCAATTTTTCGAATTGAGTTTCTCGAGTTTTCAATGTTTCGTTTCAGTTTTTAATTTTCTTTATTTAAAAAATTTTTCAATTTTACATTTTTTTTTTTAATTTTTTGTTTTTATTTTCTACAATTCTGCGATCTCTTCGAGTTTTCACTTTTAAATTTTCAGTTTCAGTTTTAGATTTTGCAGTTTTTCGATTTGAAATTTCACGAGTTTTGAACTTTTAATTTTTACATTTTTTCAGTTTTTCGAGAGAAAAACGAGAAAGTACAAGTTATTTAACCTGGCTTACATTAGAAGTACAGTCCAAACTTATTGAATAATTTATTGACGCTATGATTTTAATTATAATATCTCTTTTTCTTTGTGCTAAAAAGTTGTTGAAAGAAAACTAAGCACATAAAGAAAAAAAAATAAGCCCCACCCACCCGCCCCGATCTCAATTGTGATGATTTTTTTACCCTTTTAAAAACATATTTCATATGGTAATTTCTTGTAGAGAAGTGAGGATTTTACTACTAAGCTCCACCGTTCAACTCTCTTTTCCCAAAAGAAACTAAAAACATGTTTCACTATCTTGTTGTTGAAAGAAAACTCTATATATTCAAAAAAACAAAGATTAAGCCCCACCCACCGGCCCCAATCTCAGTTGTGATGAATTTCATATGATGATTTCTTGTAGAGAAATGAAAATTTTGCAACTAAACTCCGCCCTTTAGCTCACAATGAATAAAATCTTCACCACAATTGAGAAAGGGTGGGTGGGCGGGGTTTATATTTTGTCCATTTTTTCTTAATATACGAAGTCTTCTTTCCCCAACAAGAAACTAAAAACATGTTTGACTATCTTGTTGTTGCAAGAAAACTCTATATATTAAAAAAAAACAAAGATTAAGCCCCACCCGCCCCAATCTCAGTTGTGATGAATTTCTAGGAAAGAAATGAAAATTTTGCAACTAAACTCCGACCTTTAGCTCACAATGAATAAAATCTTCATCACAATTGAGCAGGGGTGGGTGGGCGGGGTTTATAGTTTGTCCATTTTTTCTTAATATACGAAGTCTTTTTTCCCAACAAAAAGCTGAAAACATGTTAACTATCCTGCTGTTCCAAGAAAACTCTATATTAAAAAAAAACAAAGATTAAATCAATAAATTAATTCATAAATTAAATTAATAAGTTCAGCTGACGTCATCAAATTTTCGGTGAGAATTTCACATCAAGCAGCTGTTGTAATTTGAATAACAACAATTTCCGCCATTTTTAGACTTTTATTGAATATATGTATTTTACGTAATTTTAAACGTTGGTGGTGATTCGCCCTGTATATTTTTGAATTAGTGAAATACTAAGCAATTTTTGATTTTTCAATAAACTGAAATTTTCGAATACGTATCTGAAAGATCTAATTTTTATAAAATTCAATATTCAAATTTTAGATAGACTTTTTTGTGAGAACTGTGGAACTAAATTCTAAGGAGGTGCAGACATACGGACAATATGAAATATATTCAAAGCAATTAACCACCGGATGAATGTATTATTTTCTCAGTGTACATGTTTAACTTCGATTGTTTATGTTTAGAATGTCACATAGAAATAGATTTAATTTGAGTAAATTGTCTTCCCAAACAGAGGAGTAAAATTATTAATTAAAGCACAATGGTACAAAATGTTGCTCCTTGACCATAAACACGCTAGATTAATGGAATCAATGCACGTCGAGATCTAGGTTCCAGATTTTTTTTGAGAATTTTTAGACAACTTTTTTAAGGAAAAAACTTTACAATATGTACTATAACCCCCCTTATACAAATTTCGAAATTTAAATAAGTACATTTTCTTGTAAATTTCGGGCCGCAGAAGTCACTTCCGGTTTCATTCCTTCGATCACTCTAATCGTTTTTCCAAAATCGCCCATCGAAATATTGCAAATTTTAAAAATTTCAAAAAATTCTTTTTTCACACCGAATATTTCGAAAATATTGCTCCGTGACCATAAATAAACATGTTATATTTAAGATCTACATCCCAGATTTTTTTGAGAATTTTTAGACAACTTTTTTAAACAATAATAAAAATAGTCAGGGGATATACAATAGATTTTTTTGTCACTTGAATGTTTTCAACGCCAAAAATTCTGACACTATCTATTTAAACTCAATACACTTTATATCCCAATGTAGCCAACTTTCAAAAAAATACTAATACACCTGTTACGCAGCCAGTGTGAAGGGGGCCTCATCGGTGTGTGCATAATCTAACGTTCTGTGCACGACCGACCGATTAGGCATCATGTTAACCTGTTATTATCGGCGTTTTTTCTAGTGCATGCAAATTGGTTGCATGGTTTTAGAGTGGTGAGCCGATAGTTGCAGGTTGCAACACGCGGTTATGCAAATGGATTGCCGGTAAGTGGAGGCATCGCGGAGATGAATTACGGTGTATGTTTACGGTTGTGCTGGTATAACACCTACTAATCAATAAAGTCAGGACGACGATGATTAATATTCACTTGGTGGTAAGGAACGCTCGAATATCGTAGGAAAATATGTACGTTCGAACGGAAAAAGTTGTTTTGAACAGAATACATAACTGTGCGGGGTCAGAGTTCGCACACGATTATAATAAACTATGAAGTTACAGAATACGAAAATGTAAGTTTCCGGTTTGTGGGGAACTGAACTGTCAATTTTAAATCGGTGGGCTGAAACTACGTTTCATAAATCAGCCGATCTGACAACACAATAAAGAAATCCGAGTTATGAGGCTTAAAAAGGTCTCAGGAGTGGGAAAGGTTAGATTCTTTTTGAGAAAAGGTGCTGTCGTGGTGCGATGGGCTTGGAAATCGTCGGATGTTTGACACAACAAAAGTTATAAAAAATGACGATTTAAGCACGATACTTTCATTAAATTAAAGTAACACTTGGTTTCTCTATTTTTTCAGGTTCAAGATGCTCAAAAGTACGAAGTTGACGGTTGTTGCTAAACTTCAAAAATCCCACATCTTCGGATACGCTGAGTGTGAGACTGAGAACAGCGCTAGGATACGGTAAGCTTCATTTTCGACCAATTAGATCAAAATTGGGATAGTTGCACACAAGAGATAATTGCTTACTCTCATATGCTATCAATATTGCCAAATTATCTCGGTTTTTCACAAATTGTTGCAACTTTTTTTCTATTTCGTTTATTTTCGACGATCACAGTGAAAGCGTCATATAAATTGTGTTTTATTGCATTTAATTTCCGCGTTTTTGTTTTTTCTTTTTTTTTCCGGTGTAAGCTAAGGAAGTATAGTAATCCATTCCATCGAACGAATGTACACTTTTATATTTTCTCGACGTTTCATGACCCCTACAGAACGAAAAAATTGGTCGTAAGTTGTTTCGACAGAACTTCCCTCGCACTTAAAGCACAATGAAACATATCCAGCATTTTCGGGTTGAGTTTTTCCTTTACATAATTTTGTGATGACGGCATCAATATTTTTGCAAAAATACGTTACTTACGGGCCAATTTCAAGTTGGATTTACGAGTTCGCAAGTCAATGTTGCCATGGAAGATGCGATGACAGCAGTCGCGAGGACGAATCAAATCGCGAATGGCAACAACTGTCATCGAAATTACCATAGCAACGGCACTTGCGATTTTGCAAATCCTACTTGAAATTACCCCCTTAGATTGGTGCAGTGTAACACTAAAAATAAAGTATTGTATTCCTAAAATTTTCTGGGAAAATCCTGATTAATAAAGTTTTATTTGACAAAATTTTGAGATATCACTTTTTTGGGGGGAATAAACAGATATATTTTGATTAACAATTTAATTACAAGTCTAGACATTTTAGGATTTATCCGGCAAAATTTTGAGATGACGTACCTAATCAATTTTTTGGGGCTGATAAACAGATACATTTTAATTAAAAATTTACCATTAACTTTAGAATAACTTCAAAACGTCTGCAATATTTCAAAGTATTCATAGTTATGTAATTCTTGATTTAATTAATCAAATAAATTGACTGACGGGCCAATTTCAAGTTGGATTTACAATTTCGCAAGTCCTCGTTGCCATGGCAGATGCGATGACAGCAGTCGCGAGGACGAACTGTCATCGAAATTACCATAGCAACGGCACTTGCGATTTCGCAAATCCAACTTGAAATTACCCCATCAGTCACTAATTTTTTTGAGACACGGACTCATAAACTACATGTGTAGAACTATATTATTTTATACAATTTAAAAGCCATTGACTATGTACAATTTTGAATTAACGTCATCACATTATTATAGGTGGGGAAGATTAAGCAAATTTTGGTTAGCGTTTACCATTACATGATAATGATATTCCTAATATAAATAGAAAACTTGACAACAATCGGCGCAATATTATCTGTTTAATAAAAACTGGGACGGCAGACAGACAGACAAACGGAAACTGGGAGACCTATTTAATTCTCGTAGTCTAGGGGTCATGAAAGGTCGAGAAAACGCTTACGCTCCGGAAGTAAAAACGAAATTTTGAGATGAAAAAACAAATCTTGACCGTAATTCGATGAGATAATTTAACTAATTACGCTGAGAAATCTTAGTTTATTTAAAAATTGCAATTATTGAAAACAGTAAAAATATTTTTGTTTTCACGATCACAATTTCGAATTCTCTTTACAAATAAAAAACAGAAGTTGTTTCAAACTTATTATTTTTCCTGGAGCATTTTGGCCGTGGTATTCCAAATCGTCTTCACAACGTATTCCTTGTAGTCACTTCCGTTGGTTTTTTCCATGTTAAAAACTTTCAATACGGTGAAGCTCATAATTTCTCTCCTTGCAGAAAGAAGCAAGTGGATTGGCTCCAAACTGATACTTTTTTATCTCATCTTATAGAAGATTGAAGATATAGAATTTTGAAGATATAGAATTTTGAAGACATAGAAGATTGAAGATATAGAAGATTGAAGATATAGAAGATTGAAGATATAGAATTTTGAAGATATAGGATTTTGAAGATTGAAGATATAGAATTTTGAAGATATAGAATTTTGAAGATTGTATGAACGTTGTTTTTGTTATTCTATGCAAAATTGAAGCATTGTAACTGAATAAAGCACAACTACATTTTCATTTTTGGTTTTATTTGTTATTCATACATACACATGTTAGTCAGCAAACTACAAAAAAAAAGTAAAAGAAAGAAGAAAAGTATATATCCTATAAGCACATCCTAAAGTGAAGGAGAAAATATGTAAACGCTCGCCGGGGCCGCAGCAAAAAAAGCAAAACAGACGATAACACAAAGGCGACAAATGCGGCGATCTAAAAAAAAAACAAAAATAAAAAAATCAAAGGATGATAAAGACCTCTTAAAAAAAGTCAGTGAAAAAAGTCGACACAAAAAAAGAAAAGCTAAAAAAAAAAAGACGAAAACAAATGATCCAAAAATGTCAAACGGAAAATGAGAATAAAAACATGATCAAGACCTCTTAAAAAAAGTCAGTGATAAAAGTCTACACAAAAAAAAAACTAAAAAAAAAGACGAAACAAATGGTCGAAAATATCAAACGGAAAATGGGGATAAAAACATTGGTTCCAAGGTTTCTACGACAAAACTTCCCTCGCCCTTCAAGAATAGTCCAACAAATCCCGCAAATTCCAAGGGGGTGCCGTCCACAGACATACAATCTCTAAAGCTCAAGTGTTTATTTATGTTTATATTAAAGAAGATTAACAAAATTTGAACAAGATGCGACACTTCGATCTTTTGCTAGTCAATTTTGGTGAGAATCAGTCATTTTGTTGGGGTGCTTTGACGCGGGAATATTAAGTCATTTTTATAAAAAGTTGTATGTTGGTATATTAACTTGTCTGTCATTTATGTCGGGAAAATGAGTCGCACGTAAATTTGTCGCATCACAAAGCAATTTGTTTTCATAAAATCAAAATTTTTTTATTTAAATTTTTGAGTTACAATAAATTTCAAAAATACTATTATTATTGATTAAAACAAAAGGGGCAAGATGAGCAAATCAAGTTCTCGTAGATCAATAAAAAGCAATGGGAGTAAGACATTAATGTCATTTGTTCTTTTTGATTAAACCACTTGCAGTAGGCCGGAGAAAAAAATCAAAAAACCTCAATTTATATTGATTTTTAACGTGTAAATTTGGCTAGCATTGGTGACAAAATAAACTTAAAGTACCAAAATTTGCGATTTATTTTCAAACGTCAGTCAGAATAATAATAGGGGGCCACTAACAAAGATGGATTTTAAAATAAGGGAAACTTGTTTGAAATTTTTTGTCCGGCATGGTTAGAACGGTTAGAAATGAAAATGTGTGTATGAAATAAGTGGCGACAAACGTCTGATTTAAGAAATGCGATATAAGCCTACAATAAACAAAGATAGAACAGTGCGATACAGCTTTACTAAACACAGTCTGTACACTTTGGTGAACCTGCGCACTAGAGATCGGTTTCTCCATTTGGTGACAGTGACGCTTTTTGTTCAAATTTTGTTAATCTTCTTTGTTTATACATCAAAAGAATCTCATGTAGAAATTAGTTTGATTTGAAAGAGTGTATTCTTTTTGACCAATAAAAAATTTGTGATGAAGTCATCAACATGGATAATAGTCACAGCACAAAAGAAACGTAGATACAGCGCATTATCAGTGCAACAAAAAAAAAAAAAATCGTGTGTACATGTAGGTAAGTAGGTATGGCATTCAGAATTTAAAAAGTACGTCGTCGGTCGTTTATAAAGTACGCCGTTCAAAATTTGTAAAATACGATGTCAAAATTTTCAAATTCAGAAAATCTGGACGTATAAGGTAAAAAATTAAGACCGATTCATAAACCACAAATTTTAGAAGTATGGTATTAATGTCAAATTTAATACTCTTAATTAACATGACTATGGAAGAGTTTGAGACTGCGGCATCAAATTTTATTGGGGATAACTAGAAAAAATTTGTTTAATTTTTAGCATCTACATGATATTCCTAAAATACATGTAAGACGTTAGGAACAATCAGCCTACTTTTTCAGAAATAAAATCGTCAAGAAACTACAGACGATTTAAATGTGGACCTATTTTTTGACACTTTAGGGGTTATGAAACATCGAAAAAACATTGAAGTAGTCTATGTCGGGACCACGTGGTATAAATAAGCCAAAACACTCTTCAACTTTGTAAACATTTTGTCAAAATGGCAATTTTTACTGTTAGTAAAAAAATGTAATAATGTTGAAAACTGCTGATCAAAAAAACTTTGCCTTATAGGTTGTGTCTGTGAATCGAAATACCGTTATTAAGATTAAGGTTCTTGACGTAGATTTAAAACGAGAAATTTCAAAAACATAATAATTTTTTATTTGGCAACCAAAAATTAGATGGCTAGCCTAAACTCATCCAAATAAGAGTGTTGAAGAAAGTATTAAAAAATTATGACACAACTCATATCTATTTTTTTTTGTATCACATATTTAGCATGTGAATATACATATAAAAAAATTAGACGTGAGGTATTTGTACCTTTTACTTCGTACATGCTGCCTCTAATTGTGTAAATTGATCGAGAAAGTACCTTTCGACCTATTCATTCGTAAAATAGTCCCGCCGTAACAATGTAATAATTTAATACTAGCAAAATGTTATTGAACATTCAATCCACGAATTTCACGTAACCTAACATCGAAAGTAATTTCCCATTGTTAAAAAAAGCCCATTACCAAACACAATAGAACAATTATGGTACCGATACAGACAAATGACATTCAAACTCTTCTTCACTTTTCCTCACGTACTTAATAAAATTAAAGACCCCATCTCACAAAAGTGAACAAAAATATAAAAACGTTACTCACCGATGATGGTGTGGACCCTGACCGACAACTGCGTCCGTAGAACAATCGAATTCTTCTTACTGCAACAAACCAATCAGCAATTAGTCTCGCCGAAGAATCCGGAAGCGTCCGTCAAACCGGCCAATCGAAATCAATTGGACACGAATCCGCTCGGCCAGGTGTCACTTCATTAAGGCCGTTTCGCGATTTTTTCGAGTGGTGCCGTTCGAATTCTGCGGTTTTGCGCTCAATCAACGTATTCAAAACATTCCTTTGTTACATCTTCGCGAAACCAGGCAACGGTACTAGATGATGATGGTCTAACCGACCGGATAAATGTTTTGTTTTAATCGATTTTTTGCAAAAATCGCTGGACTTTCTCGAGAGGAAGATGGAAGTGTCACACATGGAAGACCTGGGGAACAATGGAAAAGCGGCCCGATTCACGCGGGGAAATGTGCTCTGGGTCATGGGCAATGTCAGAATTCGCTCTAATTGAGGCTTAATAAATTGCGTTGGTTGCTATTATCGCGGTAATGGCTATCATTAAGGAACTTTCTTGACGGATGGAGGTTAGGAGCTATGGGCGTAGAGGTGGCGATTTAGAAAAATAAACAACAGTTTTTTGCGGCGTGAAATTGCCATTATTAGGACGGAGAGGAGAAAATGTCGCGAGATGTGTTCTTAGAAAACATAATTCAGCGGCGTTTATAAAGACATCTACTTTTTCGAGAATTAATTACTATTTCATGAATAATAACCAGCCTATAAATTCGAGCCTGACAACAAAGGAAATTAAGACACAAAATTTCCAGCGGGGATAAATCGCGACAGAGAAAGCCCACGTCGATAAATCCCGAGGACGAATTTGGGCAAATATACAGACAAACCGTAAATCCACTCTCTCTCAACTTTTTTGGACCACTGACTTTTCAGTGCGAATTTTAATGAATCTAAGTAGGCGTCGATTGCAATGTCAACGCGTGGGCCTGCAAAATTTATGATTATGCAATGGAAACAAACGAAAGAGAAATTAACCTGGTCAATCGATTTTACGGCTGTGTACAAAGTGACTCAAAAAGATAAATGGTGCAACGACTTAAATTGATTACAGTTTTTTAATCTAGATTTGGAGGTAAACGTCAAAGTTGAGGCGAATACGCGTCAGACCCAGGTACAAGTTACAAATAAGTAACTTAATAACATATTATGTCATAGAAAACTAGCTACGTTTTTTTTTGTTTGTTTTAAGGCGGATGCCCACCGTGTTTGCTCCATTTATACCATTTAGTCAACAAAACAAGTTGTGTTTTTATAGCCCGGCGCGCCTCTAATATCTCGTTAAATCAGCCACTAAAACAAAAACTCTGAAAGGAAAAAAAGCGGTTGACTTATCTAAAAATGCTTGGTTTGGAAAAATAATTGTTAATTTTTGCTCCAAATGTAAATCATTTCTGGTAAGGCAAGAATGTTTATTCTGGATTATTTACTGTAATGGTACACAGCGAGCACACCTAACAATAGTCAAGTAGGTGTTGTATGATTTAAACAGTACATGGTTTGCGAACATGCACAAAAACAAATGATGACTCATAAAATGGGAGCAACTCTACACAAATCACATTATGTTATGATTAAATAAATTATCTTAAAATTTTAGCTCCGTCTCAAAATAGAGTTCTAACTAATCTAATAAAATATTTCATCTTAATTATACATAAAAGGTGACCTGAAAGCGATAATGATCGATCCAACTTGTTTAAAAGTATCTAGTCCGCTGAGACACAGGAAAGTGTTGGAGCATCATTAGTAATAAAAGAATTATACAAAAAAATGAGATGGAAAAGAAAGTGTAAATATAATGTCACTAAATATGGAAAAAACGGAGAATTTGACATAAATATTATTGATATCTTCAGTTTAAAACAGGATGAAGTTTTTTAATTATTCTATTTTATCGCAATAATTTTAAATTAAAAATTCTGCTAATTTCACAACCTTTTACTTTCCGTGCAACGAAAAAACGGCTAAATGGGGCCTGTTATGATTTAAAACCGATGTTATCTCTTTTGAGGTTAAAATTATTGTAATTAGCATTGTTTACCTTTCAGGACCACTGTTTTTAATAATATTTCAAGTTTGTAGATTACCTGTTGTAAGTGTTGAGATAATTCTTCACAGTTTAATAGCAAACTTAATAACCGATCATTAAATCATAAACAAAAAATACATTCATTTATCAATTTTTTTTTTAAGAAATTAAAGTAATAATTTATCGGATAGAATTTGCATCACGTAACTGTCAGTTGTGTCAAATTTGACACGTCTTAAACTGATGGATGGTTGTTCAAGAGTCAAGACTAAATTAATAATTCGTGCTTGGTCACATGACAAAAAATTCAACCAATGAATGGGTTCCATTACAAAGTATAATTTGTATAAATGATGGACGCTAATAGTCAAATTAGTAGGGAAAGAGGTTACAAAACAGGTGTTTTATGAGTGCGATTTTATTTCAAATACTGGAGTTTTAAAGAATTCTAAATTCCACCGCAATACAGATCTGAGAAAACCATTGAAAACAACGCTAAAAGGTCTACAAAAATATTTTCACAACGAATTACTTTAGCCACAATAATTAAAACGTAAATTACTTGAAAATTCATTATTTCTGTTAATGCCCGTTCTTAAAATTTAGGTTCTGTAGTCCCACTAGCAGGAAATTTAAAAAAAACCTCCAATTTGTATGTTATATGCAGGTCATTTTAAGTGACTCGTGAGCATTTACAGTTAATGAAACGGCAGCAATTTATTATTCATCTTTAGTTTTTTTTTAATTTGTATTTGATAACGTTGTAAACATAAAACAGAACGTCTTGTAAAAAAATGCCTAAAACCGGTAGTGCAAACTACAGTTTTCTACAGCACTTACTGTTTTTGGCAGTTTGGTTAAAATTTACTATGATTATAATACCTGTTTTTGTTTAAAAAAAGTGACGCAAAGGTAGACAAATTACGGGAAGTACTAGATGTAATTAAATCGTCTCTTTTTCGTCTCTTTTCCTATCTTCTATTCTTAGTAGACTAGAAAACAAACCCTAAATTCCAATTTTACACGAACGTCGCTAAAAATCTGCATTTTTAATGGATCTGAAGCATATAAACTAAGAGTTACAACGGTAATGTAAATATTTTTTTTTCAAATCTTAAGATTATCTTATTAAGAAAAATGCTGCTATTATACCAATATCATGCCGATCACTGTCCTACTACATTGTTTTCTAAAAAAATTATTTCAAAGATTTTTTAAATTCACATGTGTGTATTATGACGATGCTATGAGTTAAAAAAAAAAAAAAACGAAATGGTCCGTGTAGTTAACTGAAATAATAGTTTCTGAAGTAAGATATAACACATTGTCTGGTCAGTCTGAGAAATAAGTTTCAATAGACTCATACGTCATTCAGCTCCAATGAAAAAAATTGAAAAATTTATCTATATTTTATGTTAACATTTGCAGTTTTTACTTCCTGTCTGTAAGTGAAATTAATGGTCAGATAATCTCTGAAAATACTGGAATGTTTGTTGTCAAATTTCAGGGGTATTTTAAGAATATCGAGTAGATTGCCAAACGGTAATCAAAATTTGTCTAATCATCTCCACCAAGAATTTAATGACATCACCTCAAAATTTTGCAAAGTAAATCCTATTTAAAATTTGCAAAATAACAAAACTTTTTTACACCCGTGATTTATGAGCCATGTCTTCGGCATTTTGGATTTTTGGAAAAAAAGACCAAAATTCTGTCACAAGCCAACTATGAAACCACACAAAACTAAGTCTTCTGAAATCTTGCAGACATTTTAACGTTAGTTTAACATGCTTAAATTGACCTGTTTATTCTTGCCAAAAACTAGGTGACGTCATTTCAAAATTTTGCCGAATAATCCTATCTAAAATGTTGAAAATACTGTGAGTCTACGCTTATATTTTATGAATGCACTCATATTTTTTTTTGAACTGCTTATTATAGCGTGATTCAAAAAAATACACATACAAATCAATGAATTAAATAAAAAACGGCTTATCTCATTTTCTTAAAATTTTGAAAAAAATGTTTCATTATTTGAACTTGATGAAGTCCCGCCAAAATTTTAAAATTTTGCAAAGTAAATCCTGTTTAATATATATAAAATAACATACTTTTACACCTGTGGCTTCTGAGTCGATTTTTTTATTTTAGACATTTGAATTTTTGGAAAAAAAATCTATAACATTCTACAATTTAATTTAAAAATCGGAAAACTGACATCGTACAAACGTTTTAAGGTTACCGTAAGCATGGTAGATCACTAATCAAAATTTGTCCATTTATCTTCTCCAAAAACTTGGTAACGTCATCTTAAAATTTTCCTGGATAAATTCTATCCTAAACGTAGACAATTATATGTTGTGCTTGACGAATTAATTTATATTATTTAAACCAGCTTACCTCGTTTTCTCGAAATTTTTCTAAGAAACTGGATTTGTTTGACTGTGAGAGAATTTCTGTCTAACAACTTTAGACCTTTTTTTTGCAATGTTACTGCATATTCCTTAACACAAGATGATTATAAAATATCGTACATCAAGTTGGCTTTGGAAAATCTGTCACTGATTATTTAATATGAATTTGTCGCTTCCATGAGGTACGTAGAAATTAATCATGGACCTGAATCGTGGGTTGTCTAACCAGCAGGTGACAAACACCAAAAAAGTTTACAAAGGTAATGTTATGATTCGACATTTTACAAAGAAGCGGCAACATTTACGAAATTTCAAAGTCAACTTGACGTACACTATTTTGTAACCAATTTTACTTTTTGCTTGACAGTGAATAAGTTTTCAGAAATTGCGAGTTTTATCAAGATTTTTTAAAGGCAAATGTAGAAGTAAAACGGCGAATAAATGAATAATTTTAGTGTATTTGTTTGGCAATATTAATACTTCTATCTGCAACGCGTACAGTCTCATTTAAGGTCTGTTCACACTGTTATTATCGTGCCGAATTTGACAAGGCCCCTATAAAAAGTTATACAGT